CCCATATCTTGTCGGATCACCATGGCCTAAAGTTAGAATTCAATAACACTAATTGCAGATAGATCACAAACTCATGGAAATTGAACAATGTTCAACTGAACTACTCCCAGGTCAAGGAAGAAATAAAGAAAGAAATTAAAGACTTCCTAGAATTCAATGAAAATGATAACATAACAATAGGCACAAAGGAAATCCAGAGAATCATCAGGTCATGCTGCAAAAACTTATATTTCATAAAATTTGAAAATATAAAGGAAATGGAAAATTTTCTGGATAAGTACCATATATCAAATTAAATCAAAACCAGATAAACAATTTAAATAGTCCTATAACCCCTAAGTAAATAGAAGCAGTTGTCAGAAGTCTTCAAACCAAAACCAGGGTCAGATGGTTTCAGTGCAGAATTTCAAAGAAGAGGTACTGCCAATGCTTCTCAAATGTTCCTTAAATGCATTGGCACAGGAGACTCCTTCCTAAATATAACAGCAGTAGCACAGATATACTGAGAACATCAATTAATAAATGGGACTTCCTGAAATTGAGAAGCTCCTGTAAGGCAAAGAATATAGTAAAAATAACACAAAACAGAATGGGAAAAGTTCTTCACCAACCCCTCATCTGATAGAGAATTCATCTTCAAAATATATGAAGAACTCAAGAAACTCGACATCAAATTACCAAATGACTCAATTAAAAAAAGGGGGTATAGATCTCAACAGAGAATTCTTAACAGAGGAAACACAAAGGCCAAAAGACACTTTGCTCAACATCTTTAGCCATCAGGGAAATGCAAATCAAAACAACTCTGAGATACCATCTTACAAATGTCAGAATGACTAAGATCAAAAACACTGAGGACAGCTTATGCTGGAGAGGATGTGGAGGAAGGGGAACACTCCTGCATTGCTGGTGTGATTGCAAACTTGTAAATTCACTTTGGAAATCAGCATGGTAGTATCTCAGAAAACTGGGAATTATTCTACCTAAGACCCAGCAATACCACTCTTGGGCATATACCTAAAGGATGCACACTCATACCACAAGGACAATCGTTCAATTATGTTCATAGAAGCATTATTCTTTATTAGCAGAACCTGTAAAAAACCTAGATGGCCCTCAACTGAATAATGGAAAAAGAAAATGTGGTGCATTTACACAATGGATTACGTACCACTCAACGGTAGAAAACAATGATATCTTGAAATTTGCAGGCAAATGGAAGGAACTAGAAAAAGCCATTCTTAGTGAGGTAACCCAAAAAGACAAGCATGATACATTCTCACTCATAAGTGGATATTAGACATAAAGCAATGGATAACCAGCCTACAATCCATAGCTCCAGAGAAGATAAATAACAAGGAGTACCTTAAGAGTAATATCCATGGATTTCACTAGTAAGGGGAAATAGACAAGTTCTCTTGAGAAAATTGAGAGGGGTGAGGGTGAAAGAAAATGAGAGAAAAGGAGGGAGAGGAGAACAAAAGGAAACTGGATGGATCATCTGGGGAAAGGACAGAGAAGGAAAACAAGAAAAAAGATATCTTGATAGAAGGAGCCATTAGGGGCTAGAGAGAAAACTGGAAGTAGGGAAATTCCCAGGAATCCACAATGATGACCCCAGCTAAGACACTAAGGAACAATGGAGAGGGGCACTGAACAGGCCTTCTCCTGTAAGCACATTGATGACTAGCTTAATTGTCATCATAGAGCTTCCATCCAGTAACTGATGGAAGCAGACAGATATCCACAGTTAAGTACTGGGCCTAGCTTCCAGAAACCAGTCAAAGAAAGGGAGAAGCGATATTATGAGCAAAGGGGTCAAGACCACAATGGGAAAACACACAGAAACAATTTATCTGAGCTCACTGACTCCAGACTGACAGCGGATGAAACTGCATAGGGTTGAACTAGACCCTCTGAATATGGATAACAGTTGTATGGGTTGGGGAGTTTGTGGGACTACTAGCACTTGGATCAGAATTTATCCCTAGTGCATGGGCTGGTTTTTGGAGTCTATTCCAAATGGATGGGTACTTTGCTCAGCATTATTTCCACAGCTTCCAACTCCTAGATCCCTGTACCCTCTCTATCTACCAAACTTTATCTTCTTTCCTGCAAAACAAAAATAAGAACAAAAAAGCCACTAAAAGATGGAGAACAATTTATGTTGGTCAACTGCTCCTGAACATCCATCATTCCTGCCATGGCCATTATATACCCAGTGTCATCCCATGAAAGAATACTGGCTTTCCATTTCACAGCTATTGATTTTTAACGAGTAAATCTTATTTATGTTCTAGAAGCTAATGATAATCCTCCTGCCTCTGTTCTGTTGGTAGGTTTATACACACACAACACCCCAATGCTTGACTGTTTCCAACTTTCATAGTTTAAATGGTTAACAAAACAAATGTGGAACAGATAAAAACAACTGGTACATAAATCTAGAGTGTAATGCCATTCTAGCCCTGTGGAAGAAGTTATTGAGAAACAGAATTTTACAATAGATGAGGCAAGCTTGCTTTTTATTGATTTTTATTTAGAATCAGGGAACATGCAAGATTCACATGGAGGGAAGATATCAATATCTGGGAAAGTGGCTCCCTCCTCCATGTTGATCTCGGGGATTAAGTTCAGGTTGTTAGCTTGGTTAGCCTGGTAAAGCAGCATTACCCTTGAATTCTGGAAAGAAGGGCAGAAGAAGAGCAACCATAAAGCTACCAGAGACAGACATGCCAAATCTTTCCCAGAAGACCACTGCCACATGGTAATATACAGATTAACAGAAATGGGTTAAATCAATATGTGAGAATTAGCCAATAAGCAGTTAGAGCTAATGGCCAGGCAATGATTTAATTAATATAATGTCTGTGTGATTATTTCGGATTATTTCGGGTGTTAACTAGCCGGGACAACAAGCAGCCCACTCCTCCTGTAACAACTGAGCTGTCTCACTAGTATCAGATTTAAGAAAAATTAAGAAGGAAGAAAAAGAGAAGATAATGGAAGAATTACTAAGGATAAAATTTGAATGATATACAGACCTATATTCCATTCATGGTTATATTTCAGGTGGAATTTTTAAGTGAGACACAAGTACAGTGGTTACAAGTGACTGTGCTCTCTTCACATACCAATGTGGGAAAAAATGGGTCAAACATGAGGCAAGAGAATTACAATATAAGATAGAAAATCAACCATCCATCTGAGCAGAGTACATAAGAATCATATCACAGCAACACAAAGTGATAAATCAAAAATCCATTATAAACAACAATCAAATGAATATTGGTAGAGAGTCTTTTCCTTTTCCTTTGGCATTGACAGAAGACAGTGGCCAAGAGAATGGCCATGACAAAATAGATTGATAGGCAACAAATTGTGTGGCCTTAACTAGTTTAAATGTAGTATCTGGGGAAATGAATAAAGAATTTATGTGACCTACCAAAGAAATACAGACATAAAAAGTTGCTGCATGTCATCCACTCAACAAGTATTTATTACTTTCTGCGTGTAAGGCAAAAGATATTACAATGAACAAAACAAATCTTTTTGTTCTCTATGGAGTATGCAAATCAAGCTTACTCTTCAATGTTTTTTAATTGTTAAAGGATAAAATTAGATACACAAGATTTTAAATATTCAAAATATTAAAAGAAATTTAAGCTAGATTCAAAACTTTTACTCCTAAATTCAGCTATAGTATTTGGTCTTAGGAATGCTATAATAATGGTAAACTCTGGAGACTGTTGCAAACATTTTTGTCTAAGACACTTTGGGCTTTTTTAATAAAACATAAATTGGTTCACTTATAGAAAATAGAAATGCTTCTCTAAATTCCAGAGACTGGGAAGCCCTAGGTCATAGCACCTAAAGAGCCAGTGTGCTCTGATTAGTTTGTTAACTCACAAATTGCTCCTTTTTTCTGTGTTTTTACAGTCTCAGTGTGAAGAAGAGTCTGGGTCCACATTTACAATGTCACTGAGTACATGCTTTCAAAGGTTGTTCCCAAGCCTGCTTTCTCCAACAGCATCACATTAGGTTTGGTTTCAGTGTAGGAATCTTGGAGAACATAAACTACAAATTCATAGTAGTTACTAAGTAAAGAGCAGACAAGAATGGAGAATGTGGCCTAAGGCAGAGTCGTAGAATCCCAAGTCAGGAATGGGTATTTACTTCAATCTGTGGGAATTTTTCGTGGAAATAACTTAACATGCTATATAAAACATTTAATAAGTAACTGTGATGGTTTGAATAGGTATGGACCCCATAAACTCATGTATTTGAATTCTTGGCCCATAGAAAGCACACTATTAGGAGGCATGGCCTTGTTAGGAAAGGTGTTCCCTTTCCTGAGAAAGTAGGTCACTGTGGGGGTAGGCTTTGAGATCTCAGAAGACCAACACAGTTTTTCCTTGCTTCATGCAGATCAAAATGTAGAGCCTCAGCTCTTTCTCCAGCACAATGCCAGCCTGCATGCCATCTGCCATGACGATAACTCTTTAAACCTCTGAAATTACAATCCAGCCCCAATTAAATATTTTCTTTTATAAGAGTTACTGTGCTCACTCCCCCACCCATCGTTGCCCCAGCAGGCAAATCTCTTGTGGTCAGGCCACTTTACTGCCATCCCCAGCTATGTCAGAGGCCCCAGGAGGCACTGTCCCCACATTCAGTGACTGGAGGGAAAGTGGAGTGGTGGCTCTCAGGCTGGCGAGCTGCATTTACTCGGCTCTAAGTTGGAGGCACTTGCTGTGCCCCTCGCCAACCCATCCCAGTCCCAGCAGCCTGTCAAAAGGCAAGTCTCCTGTGTCAAGGCTGCTCACCAACAGCCCCAGCTGCAACAGAGGACCCCAGAGATGCAGCCTCCTCCTGCACTAAATGGAGGAAGAGATTGCCCAATCACCATCCCCAACCACATCAGAGACCACTAGAGGCACAGTCCCAACCTGCACTGATTGGAGGAAGAGCCCCAACTGCAAGTCAGCATGCAAGAATACCTTGGTCAGGTCACTCCACCACCTGTCTCAGTGGCATCAGAGGTCACCTGGAGGCACAGGCTTCACCTGTAACAATTGGAAGAAGAATCAGTACCTGTACCTATAATTACCCAAACCCAGATGGGAAGAAGGCAGTTAAGAATACATTTAAAAAAAAAAAAAAACATAAAGAACAATATGACACAACCAGAACCTACTGGTTCTGAAGTAACAAGACCTAAACTTCCAAACACACATGAAACAGAAGAAAGCAACCTCAAAAATAACTTTATGAAGATGATAGAGGCCTTAAAGAGGAAATAAAAAAGACTCATAGGAAAAGACGAATAAAAATTGGGAGATATTAATAAATCCCTTAAAGAAAGTCAGAAAAGGCAAGAAACAAAAATAAACAAACAGGTGAAGGAAACAGTTCAAGACTTGAAAATTGAAATAGAGGCAATAAAGAAAACACAAACTGAGGGATTTCTGGAAATGGAAAATCTGGGTAAATGAACAGGAACCACAACTGAAAGTATAACCGAGAGAATATAAGAAATGAAAAAACAGGATTTTAGGTTTGAAGATACAATAAAGGAAATAGATTCATCTGTCAAAGAAAATGTCAAATGCAACAAATTCTTAATGCAAAATATTGAGGAAATCCATAGCATCTTAAAAAGACCAAACCTAAGAATAATGAGGATAGAAAAGGGAGAAGAACTACAGCTCAAAGACACAGAGAATATATATTTAACAATATCATAGAGGAAAACTTTACCAATGTCTATGAAGGTACGAGAAGCTTACAGAACACCAAATAGACTGGACCAAAAATTAAAAAGAAATCCCTTCACCATATAATCATCATAATCATCAAAACACTAAGTCTACAGAATAAGGAAAGAATACTAAGAGCTGCAAAGGAAAAAGGCCGAAAAACATATACAAACAAACATCAGAATTACACTCAGTTTGTCAATGGAGACTCTGAAGGCCAAACGTCCTGGACAGATGTGTTGCAGACACAGACTACTATACTCAGCAAAGCATCATATGGAGAAAACAAGATATTCCATGATAAAATCAGATTTAAACAATACCTAACCACAAATATAGTCATACAGAAAGTACTAGAAGAAAAGTTTTAACCCAGGAAGGTAGCTATACCCACGAAATCACATACGATAGATAATCTCATACCAGCAAATCCCAAAGAAGGGAAACACAAACGCACTACCACCACCACCAACAACAACAAAACCAGAAAATTATAGGAATTAACAATCACTGGTCTTTAATATCCCTTAATAGCAATGGACTTATCTTGTCTATGAAAAGACATAGGCTATCAGAATGGAATATGAAAACAGAACTCATCCTTCTGCTGCATACAAGATATATACCTAAACTTCAAAGAAAAACATTAGCACATAATAAAGTATTGAGAGAATATTTGCCAATCAAATGGACTTAAGAAACAAGCTGGTATGGCTATCTTAATATCTAACAAAATATACCTTAAACTATATAATAAAAAGAGATGGAAAAGGACATTTCATGCTTATCATAGGACAAATCCTTCAAGATGAAGTCTTAATTCTGAACATTTATGCCCCCAATACAAGGACACCCACATTTGTAACAGAAATATTACAAAAGCTTAAAGCACACATCAAATCCCACACACTAATAGTGGGAGACTTCAATACCTTACTCTCACCAATGGGCAGGTCTGCCAGACAAAACCTTAACAGAGGAAATAAGGGAACAGATATTATGACTGAAATGGGTTTAATATACATCTATAAAACATTCTACCCAAACACAAAAAAAAATATACCTTCTCAGCAGCTCATGGAAATGTCTCTAAAATTGATCACATACTTGGTCATAAAGCAAATCTTCAAAGACACACAAAAAATGGAATAAATCCCTGTATCTTATGGCTTAAAGTTAGAACTCAACAACAACACAGAAATACAGAAACCTTAGAGTCCCATGGAAAAACACTCAGTTGAATCACTGCTGGGTCAAGGAAGAAATTACAAAATTAAAGATTTCCTAGAATTCAATGCATATGAAAGCACAACATATTCAAACTTGTGGGACATTATAAAAAGAGTTTTAAGAGGAAAGTTCAAAGCAATGAGTGCCTACATAAAGTTCCCAGAGAAATCTCATACTAACAACTTAAATACGCACATGACAGTTCTAGAGAAAAAAGAAGCTAACTCACCCAAGAAGAGTAAGATTTAGAATAATTAAACTCATATGAAATCAATAAAATAGAAGCAAAGAAAACAATATACAGAATTAATGAAACAAAAATTTAGTTATTTTAAAAAATCAATTAAAATAGAAAAGCCCTTATCCAAACAAACCAGAGAGAGGATATCCATATTAACAAAATCAGAAAAGAAAAGGGGGGGCACAACAATAGACACCAAGGAAATTCAGAGAATCATTAGGACATGCTTCAAAAACCCGTATTCCATAAAATTGGAAAACATAAAAGAAATGGACAATTTTCTAGATAGGTATGACATACTAAAATTAAACCAAGACCATTTCACTTAAATAAGCCTATAACTCCTAAGAAAATAGAAACAGTAATCAAAAGTCCCCCACCCCACAAAAAATAATAAAAAAAATAAAAGAAAGAAAAAGAAAACAAAGGAAAAAGAAAAAAAAAATTTCCAGGGCCAGATGGCTTCAGCACAGAATTCTACTAAAATATCAAAGAAGAGCTACTACTAATACTCCTCAAATTTTTCCACACAATACAAACAAACAGAAAATTGTCAGACTCTTTATTTGAGGCTACAGTCATGCTGATTGTGAAATCACATGAAGATGAAACAAAGAAAAAAATTACAGACCAATCTTTCTCAAGAACATTGATGCAAAAATATTCAATAAAATACTGGCAAACTGAATTTAAGACACATCAAAAAAAAAATCATCCAACATGATCAAGTAGCCTTCACCCCAGAGATGCAAGGATGATACAACACATGAAAATCTGTCAATTTAATCCATCATGCAAGCAAACTAAAGGGAAAAAAATCACATGATTACCTTACTAGAGACAGAAAAAACCTTTGACAAAAACAGACACCCCTTCATGATAAAGGTCTTGGAGAGATCAGGGACATAAGGAACATATCTAAACATAATAAAGATAATATACAGCAATCTGACTGCCAACATCAAACTAAGTGGAGAGAAACTCAAAGTGAATACACTAAAATTAGGAACAACACAGGCTGTCCACTCTCTCCATATCTATCCAACATAGTAATGGCCGTTCTTGCTAGAGCAATATGACTAGAAAAGACTACAAAGGAGATCATGCGGGTACAAATTGGAAATGAAGAAGTCAAATTTTTGCTATTTGCAGATAATAGGATACTATCCATAAGTGATCCCAAAATTCCTACCAGCAAACTTCTACAACTATTAAATACCTTCAGATGGGATACAAGATTAACTCAAAAAAAATCAGTGCCCTCTAATACACAAATGATAAATGGGCTAAAAAGAAATCATAGAAACATCATTCTTTACAATAGAAACAAATAACATAAAATATCTTTCGGTAACACTAACAAAACAATGAAAGACCTGTATGACAAGAACGTTGTCTCAAAAAAAAAATCAAGGAAGATATTAGAAAATTAAAAAAAAATCTCCCATGCTCTTAGATAGGTGGGATCAACATAGTAAAAATGGCAATCTTATCTAAAGAAATCTATAAATTCAATGCAATCCTCATCAAAATTCTATCACAACTCTTCACAGATTTTGACAGAATAATACTCAACTTCATATAGAAAAACAAAAACAAATCATGATAGCCAAAACAATCCTGTCCAATAAAAGAACCTCCAGAGGAATCACCATCCCTGACTTCAAGCTATAGTATAGAGGAATAGTAATAAAAACATCTTGGTATTGGCATAAAAACAGACACATGGATCAATCAAATAGAATTGAAGACCATGACATAATCCTACACACCTATGAACACCTGATTTTTGACAAGAAAGCCAAAACTGTACAATAGAAAAAGAAAGTGTCTTCAACAAACAGTGCTGGCTTAACTGATGTTGACACATAGAAGAATGCAAATAGATCCATATCTATCACCATGAACAAAACTCAAGTCTAAATGGATCAAAGACCTCAGCATAAACCTAGTTACACTGAACTTAGAAAGAAAAGAAAGAGGGAAGCAGCCTTAAATGCATTGGCATAAGAGTCCACTCCCTAAATATAACACCAGTAACACAGACACTGAGAGCAACAGTTAATAAATGGAACCTCCTGAAACAGAGAAGCTTCTATAACAAAGGAAATGGTCAACAAGACCAAACATCAGTCTACAGAAATGGAAAAGATCTTTACCAACACCATATCTGACAGAGAGCTGATCTTTAAAATATATAAAGAATTCAAGAAACTAGGCATCAGAATACCAAATAATCCAATTTAAAAAATGAGGTACAGATCTCAACAGATACTTCTTAACAGAAAAGGCACAAATGGCCAAAATACAGTTAAGGAATTACTCAACATCCTTAGCCATCAGGGAAATGCAAATCAAAACAACTCTGAGATGCCACTTATACCTGTCAGAATGGCTAACATCAAAAACACACTTATGCTGGAGAGGATGTGGAGTAAGTGAATCACTCCTGTACTGCTGTGGGACTGTAAATTTGTACAGCCACTGTGGAAATCAGTGTGACAGTTTCTCAGAAAACTGGGATTCAATCTACCTTAGAACTCTTAGGCATGTACCCAAAGGATGCATATTCATACCACAAGGACATTTGTTCAACTATGTTCATAGCAGCATTATTCATAATAGCCAGAATCTGGAAACAACCTAAATGACCCTCAACTGAAGAATGGCTAAAGCAAATGTGGTAGATTTACACAATGGAGTATTATTTAGTGGTAAAAAAAAATCTTGAAATTTGCAGGGTAGAACTAGAACAAACCATTTTGAGTGAGGTAACCTAGACCCAGAAAGACAAACACAGTATGTACTCACTCATAAGTGATAATTAGACATAAAG